ATTATTATTATTATTATTATTATTATTATTATTATTATTATTATTATTATTATATTATTATTATTATTATTATTATTATTATTATTATTATTATTATTATTATTATTATTATTATTATTATTATTATTATTATTATTATTATTATTATTATTATTATTATTATTATTATTATTATTATTATTATTATTATTATTATTATTATTATTATTATTATTATTATTATTATTATTATTATTATTATTATTATTATTATTATTATTATTATTATTATTATTATTATTATTATTATTATTATTATTATTATTATTATTATTATTATTATTATTATTATTATTATTATTATTATTATTATTATTATTATTATTATTATTATTATTATTATTATTATTATTATTATTATTATTATTATTATTATTATTATTATTATTATTATTATTATTATTATTATTTATTATTTATTATTATTATTATTATTATTATTATTATTATTATTATTATTATTATTATTATTATTATTATTATTATTATTATTATTATTATTATTATTATTATTATTATTATTATTATTATTATTATTATTATTATTATTATTATTATTATTATTATTATTATTATTATTATTATTAATTATTATTATTATTATTATTATTATTATTATTATTATTATTATTATTATTATTATTATTATTATTATTATTATTATTATTATTATTATTATTATATATTATTATTATTATTATTATTATTATTTATTATTATTATTATTATTATTATTATTATTATTATTATTATTATTATTATTATTATTATTATTATTATTATTATTATTATTATTATTATTATTATTATTATTATTATTATTATTATTATTATTATTATTATTATTATTATTATTATTATTATTATTATTATTATTATTATTATTATTATTATTATTATTATTATTATTATTATTATTATTATTATTATTATTATTATTATTATTATTATTATTATTATTATTATTATTATTATTATTATTATTATTATTATTATTATTATTATTATTATTATTATTATTATTATTATTATTATTATTATTATTATTATTATTATTATTATTATTATTATTATTATTATTATTATTATTATTATTATTATTATTATTATTATTATTATTATTATTATTATTATTATTATTATTATTATTATTATTATTATTATTATTATTATTATTATTATTATTATTATTATTATTATTATTATTATTATTATTATTATTATTATTATTATTATTATTATTATTATTATTATTATTATTATTATTATTATTATTATTATTATTATTATTATTATTATTATTATTATTATTATTATTATTATTATTATTATTATTATTATTATTATTATTATTATTATTATTATTATTATTATTATTATTATTATTATTATTATTATTATTATTATTATTATTATTATTATTATTATTATTATTATTATTATTATTATTATTATTATTATTATTATTATTATTATTATTATTATTATTATTATTATTATTATTATTATTATTATTATTATTATTATTATTATTATTATTATTATTATTATTATTATTATTATTATTATTATTATTATTATTATTATTATTATTATTATTATTATTATTATTATTATTATTATTATTATTATTATTATTATTATTATTATTATTATTATTATTATTATTATTATTATTATTATTATTATTATTATTATTATTATATTATTATTATTATTATTATTATTATTATTATTATTATTATTATTATTATTATTATTATTATTATTATTATTATTATTATTATTATTATTATTATTATTATTATTATTATTATTATTATTATTATTATTATTATTATTATTATTATTATTATTATTATTATTATTATTATTATTATTATTATTATTATTATTATTATTATTATTATTATTATTATTATTATTATTATTATTATTATTATTTATTATTATTATTATTATTATTTAATTATTATTATTATTATTATTATTATTATTATTATTATTATTATTATTATTATTATTATTATTATTATTATTATTATTATTATTATTATTATTATTATTATTATTATTATTATTATTATTATTATTATTATTATTATTATTATTATTATTATTATTATTATTATTATTATTATATTATTATTATTATTATTATTATTATTATTATTATTATTATTATTATTATTATTATTATTATTATTATTATTATTATTATTATTATTATTATTATTATTATTATTATTATTATTATTATTATTATTATTATTATTATTATTATTATTATTATTATTATTATTATTATTATTATTATTATTATTATTATTATTATTATTATTATTATTATTATTATTATTATTATTATTATTATTATTATTATTATTATTATTATTATTATTATTATTATTATTATTATTATTATTATTATTATTATTATTATTATTATTATTATTATTATTATTATTATTATTATTATTATTATTATTATTATTATTATTATTATTATTATTATTATTATTATTATTATTATTATTATTATTATTATTATTATTATTATTATTATTATTATTATTATTATTATTATTATTATTATTATTATTATTATTATTATTATTATTATTATTATTATTATTATTATTATTATTATTATTATTATTATTATTATTATTATTATTATTATTATTATTATTATTATTATTATTATTATTATTATTATTATTATTATTATTATTATTATTATTATTATTATTATTATTATTATTATTATTATTATTATATTATTATTATTATTATTATTATTATTATTATTATTATTATTATTATTATTATTATTATTATTATTATTATTATTATTATTATTATTATTATTATTATTATTATTATTATTATTATTATTATTATTATTATTATTATTATTATTATATTATTATTATTATTATTATTATTATTATTATTATTATTATTATTATTATTATTATTATTATTATTATTATTATTATTATTATTATTA